CCCTCTCCTCTCCTCTGCCGGCGGAGGTGCCCGGTGCGGCGCGACGATCGCGGCCTGGCGATCGGGGGGCACGGTGGTCTTGGCGCTCCAGGGTGGCGCGCCAGGCGTGGGGCGCGAGGCCAGACTTGGCGCGGCGGGGTGTTGGGGGGCGGGCAGCGGCGGAGCCCCCAAAGGAAAGCAGGGCAGGGGGTACCGAGGTAATGGGCAGGCCTGTGCGCCTGGTTGCGAGGGGCTGGAGCTCCAGACGCACTTCAGCCCCAGGCGGGCAGCCACCGGGGCGCCCCGGGCGGCGGGAGGGCAGCGGGGCGGGGAGGGAGGAAGGAGGAGAAGGCTGGGCTGGGCCGGGGGGCTTGGCCGACGGGGAGCAGGTGGGCGGGGACAGGGGCCCTGCTGAAAGAGGCGCAGCAGCGAGGTGGCGGGCTGCGTGCGCAAACAGGGCGTCCGCCTCCTGGGCCCGGAGAACGGTGAGGCCATTTGGGTTGGGTGCCCCAGCCCCGAGGGCACGGTTCAGTGTCTAAGACCACTGAACTGGGCGCGGGGCACTATTGGGGGAGGGTCTGGATGTCTGGCCGGGCCAAGGCGTTGGGGTCTTGAGCAGACCCGGGAGATGAATGTTGCTGGGCCAGGAGTTCGTGGGCAGGGCGCTGGTGCGGGCTATGGAGGGCGAGGACAGGTACTTTGAGGGCTGGCATAAGTGGAAGGGGACAAGGAGGGTCCAGGGTTTGAGTTAGAGCATAATTGGGAGTCCCATGTCACTGGGTGGGTAGATGAGTCATAAGATTTGGAAACCACAGTAGCTTTCGTGGGGATCAGTTCTAACTGAGGGAAATAAAAAGGGTTTGGATTTAGAGAAGTGATTTGGAGGCCATGTCTTGGGACTCCAGGTCTGATGGCCGCCAGTCCCCATGCAAGGAACTTTGGGAGCCAAGTCCCTGAGTGCTATGATTCGGAAGCTCGAGCCTGGAGTCTGGAGGTCTTTGTGGTGGCCTTCCTTCCTTTCTAGGCCTTCAGGATTCAGCTGTGTTCCTGTGGGGAGTGGGTTAAAAATTCCTCCGGCCTACAATCAGCCTTACAGTATCCACCAGGGGCAGGAGGAACATATACATGCGTGACTGCTGCAGCGTTCTCTGTCATGGAGCCCTCACGCTTCCTCACTGTTGCCATAGTAACAGCCTATCGATGGTGTATTTATAGGGGAAGAAGCAGGCGCTACATTTGGGGGAAGGAGGGGGAGGAGGCCTCATAGCAGCAGCAGCAGTGACGTTGGCTACAGAATTGTTAATAGAGTGTGGCTATGCCCTGTGAGCTGTTTGGGGGAGTTCCTGGCTTGTATGAAGCTTGAAAATGAACTAATTACTTTTTTCAGGTATCAGAATAGCCTACTTTAGGGGCTATGAGATGTGTGGGTGTGCATTTATCGAAGTCAGGTGTTTTGGGGGCAAGAAGTGGCTATTGCAAGCTGTTATGTAATTTTTCCACGTAAATAATTAAAAAAAACAATGCTGCAATTCTCTTTGATAAGCAATTAAACAGTTTTCTACCTTCACTTATTAGTAAAGCCTTTACTCATTCTCTTCAAACCCTGGCACAAAGGCTCCATTTTTCTTCAATCAAAAACCTTGCTGTTAGGCATGCCACACCCACACCCTGGCCACATGACCAGCATTGGCTGTAGGGGAACCTCAGAGATCTGCAGTGGAAGCAGAATTGAGATCTAATAGTCCATCTTCACTCTCATAAACATTGCGGGTCAACTTTTCTCACAATAGTAGGCCCATCGTTGAGAGATTCACATGATGATAGTTTTGGATGGGATTGTTGTGGGGTTCAAAAGAGAAAGCCCCCCTTGACATGGTGTTTCCATAGATGGATGTAAGATGTGCTGTTTTTTTCTTTGGTTTTAATTTTATTTATGATTTATATCCTACCTGTTTGCCAAAAGGATTAGAAGATATATTTTAAATATACTTAAGACTCTGTAAACATAAATTAAAAAGTGTATACCTTGTCATAGGGGAGAGGCATATGTGCTGAACAACTGGGCATCCAGGGCACTTGTACGTGATGGTCAATGTTAATGCTGAACTTCCTGGCAGCCTAGGAAAAAAGGGTAGCACAATGGGTTACACCGTTCACGTGTCCTGCATCCAAATAGTCATGAAACCAGAGCTTCTGCTTGGGGAGGGGAGCAGTGGGGTGATTGCTCCCAGATGTGGACAGTTGGGCCAGTGCTTCGGAATATGAGCATGAGTGGGAGTGTATGTTGGGGGGAGCAGTGTGCTGTGGCTAGGGTTTACATACTGGCTGGATAATTCCTGAGCAGGAGCACAGCTTTCAGACAATAGCTCACATCAGAGGCAACACTTGTATTGAGTTAGCATCTCAGTTTTGATCTCATCAGTCACTGTCTTGGTACACTGCTGCAGTGTTCTTTAATGCAAAGAGGAGAGATGACTGGTTTCAGGAGATCTTTGCCATCATTTCTGGTGAATATGAATGTAGCAGGTCACCTTGGTTTGGGCCATGACTTTTGAGATGGTTGTTGCTGCCATGTTCAGCTTTGCCAGTGCCTGCTCCTTAAACATGTGCTGCCTCTTTTCAAGAAACATGCTTGTTATTAGAGGTATCTGGGACTTTCCGTTGTGAGAAAAATTAGTTTCCAAAATGTGACCTCTCTCTGTCACTATTGATTTGCTTGACCTTGCCTAACTCCTGGTATCTCTGAGGTTCTTTCCAGTTCAAAAGTGCACAGATTCCTTGAGGAAAGTGAGAAAGGAGGAACCTCAGCCTGTAGGAGTTTTTTTGTTTTTAAAGAAAAAGTTAAGTTCTAGGTCTTCTAGAATCTCAGAATATTCTTGGGGAAAAAGCCAGAGGGTTTTCTTTGGGCCGTGCAGGGCCTCGGGAAGCTCTGGAGGGGAGCTCAGGGTAGAATGGGAAGCAGCAGAGCTATGAGCAACACTGCAGAGGGTGCTGTGCCTCATAAGGTGCTGCTTTAACTTTGGCCAAGCCAGTGGGGCTATGGTTCACATTCTAGCACCAAAAGGGTGCCCTGTAGGTTTTGGGATGTCATTTCAACTGTGACTCTACTTTTCTCCTTTTCCAGGCAAGTGAGACGCTGGTTCTGAGGGAGCACTATGGCACGTGAGTTTTTCTGAGCCTAGGCCAAGTGGGGAAGGGCCATGCCTAAGGGCTCATGGGAAAAGTGCATATCCATCTTTCAAGTCCTTGCCAGCTCTCCCCAGATTGTCCCTGTGGCCCCTCTCTGACTAGCTTTTTCTGCAATACATGCTCACTTGGAGCTGTGCACTTACCCAGGCCACTATGGCAGAAACTAAAGTGACAGGTCATAAGGCCTGGGGAAGGGTGCCTGCCTGCTGGCAAAGCCCTACCTACCTGGGCATGAGTGGGACTGTTTGACATGAGAACTAAGAAGTCTCACCTCTAGGGTCATATCAGGAGTAGATGTGACCTCTTCTTTTATTCTCTAAAGTCCTAGGCCAGGCTTATGGAGGTACATAGCTCGTATTATACCCGTCAGCTCAACTGGAATAAGTAGATATGGCTACCACTCAATGACTTTTTTTCAGGAGGCAACTGTGCCCAGTAGACAAAGATTTAGATTTTCCCTATGGACCCTGCTACCCTCTTCTCAGTCTCATGTACATTCAGTCCTCTGACCTACTCCTGTCTGGGTTTGTACAAGACTGATTTGGGCAAGGCTATTAATGCTACGTGATCTGACAGCACAGGTGGTCATTCAGGTGCAGGGAAGATACCCTGATAGAGTCTTATGAGATTGTTTAGTATTGGTCACCAGCATCAGCCTCAAAGAAGATGCTGGTGGCCTCATGATAAGGGCTCTGATTTTCTTGTTTTGAGGTGAGGCAGGAGATACTGGGTGTTTTTTCACTGACTACTCAAAATCCTTCATGTCCATCCACACTCTACACAACATGCACTCTCCATTTTCCTCCATAGCACCAGAGACATGAGTCTTATTGAGTCCATGGTATTCTAGACCAGTGGTCAGCAAACTCATTAGTTAACAGAGCCAAATATCAACAGTGCAACGATTGAAATTTCTTTTGAGAGCCAAATTTTTTAAACTTAAACTATATAGGTAGGTACATTGTTATTAACTTAATTAGGATACTCCTAAGGCTTAGGAAGAGCCACACTCAAGGGGCCAAAGAGCCGCATGTGGCTCGCGAGCCGCAGTTTGCCGACCACGGTTCTAGACAGATACATCATGGCATCACAGAAAGTCAGCCATCCCATCCCTGCTACAAAGGGCCAACCATGTCTGCGATGGTGACTAGCCAGCTGGCTTTGTTTTGCTTCCCTCCATCATTGTGCTTCTGTGCATGGGCTGAGTCTGGTTTGAAGGAGCCCCTGGGCACCTCCCCATTCCAGGCCTCAGTGCAGCTTTCTCCTCAGTGTTTCTGGAGGCCAAGAATGCCCATTCGGTCCTGAAACGATTTCCTCGTGCCAATGAGTTCCTGGAGGAGCTGCGCCAGGGTACCATCGAGCGGGAGTGTATGGAGGAGATCTGCAGCTACGAGGAGGTCAAGGAGGTGTTTGAGGACAAAGAGAAAACGGCATGTACCACCCTATGGCTGGGTTCTGGGAGGAGAGGTAGCCTCAGGAATAAGAAGAGCAGGCCCAGGTGCCTCAGATGGAATAGAATCAATGAAGGAAAGCCAGCCTAATCCAAGGCAGGGCCATTGGGGCCATAGAAGAACAGAAAATATGTCCTTAGAGTCCCATTGGCCTGATTCTGGGGGCCTCCTCTATGGGAGTATTGCTGTTCATCCTTGATGCATTCTGTAGCCTCTCTGATAGCTCTTAGAGGCCAGTCAGATGGGGTGGGGTAGGGAGCAGTCTTGTGGAAGGTCTCTGAGGTCCATCTGGGGCACGAGCACTTGTGCATCAGTGTAAGTGGCCCTTCTTCTTTTGCAGATGGAGTTCTGGAAGGGATACCCTAATGCAGTCTACTCTGTCCGAGACCCTGCACAGAGCTCAGATGCCATGTATGTGGTGGTGCCTCTTCTGGGGGTGGCGTTGCTGATTGTCATCGCCTTGTTTATCATCTGGAGGTGCCAGCTGCAGAAAGCCACCCGTCACCACCCTTCATATGCTCAGAACCGGTACCTAGCAAGTCGCGGCGGGCACAGCCTGCCCCGGGTCATGGTGTACCGGGGCACTGTGCATAGTCAGGGGGAGTCCTCTGGGCACCGGGAGGCAGGGAGCAACCCGCAGGTGGTGCTGGGGCCCAGTCGGGGGAGCAGAACCACAGTCCGCCTTGAGAGCACCCTCTACCTTCCTGAGCTCTCTCTCTCTAGACTGTCCAGTGCCACTCCTCCCCCATCCTATGAGGAGGTGACTGCACCCCAGGAGAGCAGCAGTGAGGAGGCAAGTGTCACTTACAGTGACCCACCCCCAAAGTATGAGGAGATAGTGGCTGCCAACCCTGGCTCAGACAAGTAATGGGACTTGTGAAAGAGGTATGAAAACCTCTTTCAGGGGTCTCCTATTTTCTTTTTAACTTTTTAAAGACTGTGCCACCACAAAACAGCCTTAGCCTCCTTGTTGCCAAATAATTTCCTAACCGTGGATTTGTAGGAAGTCAGTTGTCAGGTGGAGGGGTGTAGGGAGCACACATGCCCCTGGAAAGAGCTACAGGTCAGAGAGCCCAGCTCTTCCAGAAGCCCCCTATATCCCTCCATCCTGTCCTTCTGTCAGGGACTGGCTTCTCTTATGCCAAAGGAATCACCCATGGAATTGACTGTGGCCAGAATGTCCATAGGCTTGGGCCCTGGGGCCGCAGAGCTGGCTGAAGACCTGTCTGTGTCTGGAAGCCCAGGCCACAGAAATGAGAGAGAGGAGCCAGCCCTTCAACTCCATTTCCCCTCAGCAGTCCTGTGCTTACTGTCCTGGTTACATTTTGAGGACAAGAACAGGACTGAACAAAAAACAAACAGAAAGAGTTATAACAAATAAATAACAAACACAATAAAACAAAACACTATAACCTAGACCATTCATAGGAGGCCAAGGGAAATCAATCTCACAGATCTGTGATGCTTCTCTCCCCCAATGCCCACCCCCATCCTCCTGACCAGGTTAAAAGGAATGTCTAGAGTAACCTGGAAGGAGGACAGGGTGTGTAAAGGGTGAAGGGTAGGGACCTGGCTGGCAGAGCTGTCTCCTCCAGATTGAGCAAAGGGGCCTGCGTGAACTTTGCCGTCCTGGAGTGGTAGCTCTGGTTCTGGTGTGCTTGGTCTCTCCCAGGTCTTGGCTCTCCAGACATATGCACTGGCTGTGCTAAAACTGCTACCTATTGGCATGAGTCCAATCATAGCCCTGGGAAAACCTATCTGGCTGCCTCTGCCTGCAGAGTCCCTGGCCTCTGAATGGTTGGGGTACAGGCTGGGGCAGACAGCTGAAGTTTTCTCCTCATAAGGTTGATTGTCCCATAGCACATCTACACCCATGAACTTGGCCTCCTCAGCACTGTGCTCTCTGGTTTTGAACTTTTGGGATACTTCCCTTTTCATGAGTAGGTGAATTGAGTTGAATTTGAACTTTAGATAGCTTATTTTTTCTTAATGATGGTACCCACCTGGGAAGAAGATCCTAAAATGTCCCATTTTAGAAATTTCTTTGCGAGGGAGATGGGGAAGCCTGGGGTAGAAGGCCCATCCAGGATTTGCCCTGTCATTGCCAGGTGCTGGCCTGTTTTTATTAACCCCTTTCTGTGGCCCAAGAGCTGTCAACCTTTCCATTTCAGTGAGGTTTTGGACAGCAATGGGGGCAGAGGTGACCTATCTTTAACTGTCAATGACCACACAAAAGACCGTCGACACCCTGTCCCCCAACCCTACATCTCTATCCTCTTGGCCTTGGCGCCAAACCATTTTTCCTCTGTGGTGCTTTTTTAAATGTAGCAAATTTTTGTGGAGCCCAAAAGAGTGCATAGCCAGGGTCTCTTGGCAACCACAGCAGTTTAAAACCCACTGAGAAGACAAGCTCCTTTCTGTTTAAACAGCTCTCCAAGGCAGGCATCGGGCCTTTTTGTTTGAACGCAGCCCTGCCTTGTGGCCACAGATAACATCTGGAGGCCCCTTCAGTCTTGGACACTTGCCCTGAGACTTGCTTCAAGTCAGGAGGCTTGTGATCTTATCCCAGTGAGGCCACCAATTTGGACAACTTGACCTTGTGGCTGGGGTTTTTCATCCTTCCCCCTACCTCACAGGACTATGTGGAGGTTGACTGAGCTAATGCTTGTGTAGTATGGTTTGCCCTTAGGAAGATTCTTCTAGAAATGTGTAGGTTATAGGGGACCATCTTAGTGGAGGCCTTCATATGACTCTGATATTGAGTCTCAACCTGGGGAATCAGTCTCCTGCCAGTCGACCCTTTCTGTTCCCTCTCTGCACCCCACCCCCCACCCCTGAGAGCTCCCTGGTGCCAGAGGTGCTGACCAGGTGGCATTCCAACTTTCTTTCCTTCCTTGTTTCCTTCCTCTGGATCTCTAGCACTACACTCCTACCCTTCTTCACAAAGGCATTTTTGGCCCAAAAAGCCCATGCTTTTTCCATGATGGAGGCTGGGGTCATTCCCATTTGGCCCTGTTAGAAAACCTGAGGCAGCCTGAAACTCTGGGGCCAGCCCCTGCCCTCTCAGCATTTTCTCGGGCTGGTGCCTCTGTGTGACCTGGGAGAAGACACTTACCCCCATGTGTCTCCTCTCCACTGAGCAGAGGGCCAGGCATATGCCCCATCGACCAGAGCCAAGGAATGCCTGCTGCCTTTGGCATCTATTGAGCCCTTCCTTACTGAGCTGCCAGATATTTGCAGCTGGGTGGAGACAATAGATATGGAAGGAGGAACTTGGCCCAATGGAGGGTGGCACATGTCCTTCAGGCGCTGAGCACAGATTTACAGGGAGAGCTCACTCAGAGGCATTTCCTTAAGGCCCTGTGCTCTCTGGTTCAGGTGCTTGACAGCATTCTTCTGGGTGGGCTTGCCACCATGGTCTCTGGGACGTTTTTTGCAGTATATTGTAGAAAAAGACTGTACAGTCCACAATGGTCATCATCCTCGCGGTGCACATTTGGCTTTTATGAATGCTCTGTACATATCTTTCAAACTCTGTCTTTGTATGGACATAGATTTGATACAATGCTAACGCTGCAGTAGCCACATCTTTGTTGTTTTTGGACTTGTGTGTGTGTGTGCGTGTGTGTGTGTGTGTGTGTGTGTGTGTGTGTGTGTGTACTCTTGTGCACGTTGCCTTTTCTCACATGCTTATCTGAAACAATAGCCGGTGTGTGGCTATATTTGTACCAGGAAGGAGGGTTCCCGTCTGAAAGGGAGGAATGTCCCCTCCCGGGGACTGGGTAGCCTGATGACAGGGCCCTGAAGAGAAAAGCTGAGATTTGCTGTCGGAGCCCCCCAAAGTTGTCACCTTTTGCCCCCACTCACAAAAAAACATTGGAAGAAGACGAAGCAGCTCCATCCTGGGTGCCTTCGCCTGCTGGGATTCCCAACTCACATGCCTTTTTTATTTGGTGCCCCTGGCCTTTCCTGTTTTGTGGGTATCAGCAGCTGAAGGAAATATGAATGCTCCCGAGACTTTTAATTTTTAATTTTTTTGGTGGAAGGATGTGTGACTTTTGACTTTGCGAAGGGCGGGGCTAGTTATTCAGATATTTTTCATTAACAAAGAAAAATGACTGTCACTCCTTTTCAACCAAAAACTTTCTAAGAATTTTTAAAACAAGAGTCACAATCTTGTCCCTTCCCTGCTGCTCCCCATCACCCAGGGTTTTCAAACCAAAAGCACAAGAGAAAGAGTGGAGCTCACAGGTGCCCAGCTGACGTGCACAGCATTAGCATTGTACCCTGGCTGATGGAAATGCAACTGAAGGCCAGGGGCCTCCTCTTCTACTTGCCAATCCCACTGCCATTTGTGTGAATTCCTTAGGGTGCTTTGGAAGACAGGAATCTGGCTGATTGTTGGACGTTGTCTTTTTTGTAGCCTGAATATGAGGAATTCAGGACAGGAAAGTGTCTGTTAGGAGTTGGAGCCAGATGGTTCCTCTCTGGCTGGCTGGGGTTTAATCTTTTGACAACCAAATGGCATCCCATGAGAAGAAGAAAAAAACAACACTGCCTCTAGATTGTTCTTTTATCTGAGAGAGATCATCAAGAGAGACTCACTCACCTGCGCTCTGTCTTTCTAGGAGTATGTACTTGTGCTATGTCTCATGTGTGTGCCCTCGTGGTCAAAGCCAAGATGGAGAGCTGGGCAGCAGAGCTGCTGGTGTAGGGTGCTTTTCAGCTTGACAAGTAATGAAGTTCCATTTCAGGATTACGCTGATTCAGAAACAAGCACATCCTCCCCACTGAACTCTCCTCATACTATTTAGTATAATTAGCTAATTTAAAAGTACTGTAATCAGACCGCCTGCAACTATGGTAAAAAGCCCATTAACTTGAGGCCCACTAATTTAGAACTTAGAGAAAATCACGACTGAAGATAATTCATGGTATCTGCAATTCTTGCTCTGTAGAAATGTTGGAAGTACTCTTCCCCTTAGTCAATTTCCAGGGTCATATGCGTAAGAGGGATCTAGTATATAATGAGTACCTTTTTCAAATAAAAGGCTCAGGATATTAACGATCCCTGCACCGTGCCTTCAGCTTTGGGGGTTCAGCAATTCTCATATGTAAGGCTCTTTCTGTACTGGATGATCGCTTGTTCTCGCTCCATCGTGGGGATGTTGGGTATTGCAGCTTTTCATTCTACTCCTTTATTCACCTTGGAATCATATAGTTTGTGAACTACACTGCAATTTAAAGTAATATAACCGTGTATCTTGCTAAATATTCTGTAAAGCAGATGCTTTGCTATTAGACTGGCCGTTCCTATCATTCGCTGCCCCCAAATATTCAAAGGGAGCGTTTCCTTTCACAGGCTGTGGGCGGTGAGTCTCTCTCTAGCAAGAATTTCTCTGACAAAGATATCCAAACAGCACACCCCCTCAGGCTCAATGCCTCAACAGTTGTTCCACTGTACTGAGATATCTGCCCGTTGAACAGTGCCTGCTCTGCTCCCGCCCCCAGCCCGAGCATTAACACAGATATTCAAGATTGGGATAAATCCCACAGCTGCTTTTGCCTTCAAATCCATCTCCCCTTGTGGATGCCACTTTCCCAGGCCTGAACACACCTGCTATTTCACTCTGTGATTGTGAATTTGTGATAGTGGAAACTCATATGTGCAACTGAGCTTATAGACATGATTACTGTGAAATGGATTAATTTTGGTACCACTTTAAACTGTGCTCTTATTCATGTGTTGACCCATGTCAGCTGGGAAATCTGTGCATTCAGTAATAGGTCAGGATTTCACTGGAGCCTGGGGGCAACAAACAAACTTGCTTCTGATCTCTTTCTCTGTCTCTGTCTCTCTCATTGTAATTATTGAGTTTAGCTGTTAAATTTTGTCTCTTTCTGTACAAGATAATGAATAATAATAAAGAGCAAATGTAATTCACTTGTGTTCTGTCCTCATCTATTTTGGATCCCCAGACTTCCATGGGGGATGGATGGTTGTGGGCTAAACTGGTTTTTCCAAAAGTCAGACTGTAGATAAGGAAACAGCCCAAACCAGTTTGGAAGCAGGAAGCAAAGATGTCCTGGGTCCTAATGTTTGTCCCCGTGTGTGTAAGATGATC